CATTGGCTTTACACCAGTTTTTTAGTGGTCATAACATGGCAGCAAAAAATGGTGTGGCAAAGATGCTGTGGGAAAAGTTCGGGACACTCCCCCACTCGCAATGTCGCTCTACCATACCCAGGGGTCTGGGGTAGGAAGTCCTGCTGCATCTTCAGGAGTCTGCCCCCCTGGGTCCCAGGGCACTTGATGAACCCTCGGGGGGGGTCCCTTTTTGTTGATATACTAGCAAAGGGACATACCCAAGGGTCCCCAGACTGCAAGAAGGCGCAGGCCGGGCTGAGGGGACCCCGCCCCCCACCCCCGCAGTGCACGAATGTCCTGCACCAGGCCTCTAGTTGTATAATAAAAGACCTTAAAATGAATATGAGGATTGTGAAAATGATACCCAAAATGAGCTGATGCTTCCAATAACAAATCTGGAAAACAGACATCCTTTTAAAAAATTTAGAAACCAAAACTTCACACATGATAATTAATGAATGCTTAGAAGGGAGTGGCTTGAATATTGACAAGAGAAAAATCTATTTCCTGCTATGGGTCTTTAACCTCAGCAATGTCAACCAGGTCATGGTTTTCTGCTTTATATATATAATGCTTCTCTTAAAGAAATGTTCACTATGTAAGAGAATATAACAGAAGAGAATAATATTTGAGAGGACAGAGAATATCAAATGCATAATTATTTTTTTTTCTTATTGTATCTGTTTTTCATGTATCTATTCATATTTTATATTATGCTTTATAGTGTCTAATATTTTTGTTATAATTTTTTCAGATATATTGAAATTGATCCCTTAATGTCTCATAAATTTATACCTTTAGAAATGAGCCTAATAAATTATATAATTATAACATATCTACATGTTCTAATGTTGCTATAAAACCATTTTTTTGATTTTTAGTAAATTTTTCCACATCAAATTTTTTTTTAAATATATTTTATTGATTTTTTACCGAGAGGAAGGGAGAGAGAGATAGAGAGTTAGAAACATCGATGAGAGAGAAACATCGATCAGCTGCCTCCAGCACACCTCCCACTGGGGATGTGCCCGCAACCCAGGTACATGCCCCTGACCGGAATCGAACCTGGGACCTTTCAGTCCGCAGGCCGACGCTCTATCCACTGAGCCAAACCGGTTCTGGCTCCACATCAAATTTGATTCTGGTTCATTTCAATCAACTGAGTAAATGACAAATAATTTTGGAAGCTTTGGAGATAAAATGTTTCATAAAATAATTCTATAAGTGATTTATAAAGTTAAACTTAAAAGTCAGTATGATGACATAGACTTCAGAGTCCAGAAATTAGTCCATTCATCTATGTTCAACTGATTTCTGACAAGGGTGCCAGGACCATTTAATGGGAGAAAAAAAATAGTCCTTTTAACAAATGGTGCTGGGACAACTAGATATCTGTATGCAAAAGAATGAATTTGGGCCTCTACCACATACTACACACAAACATTAATTCAATATTTATAAAACACCTAAATCTCAGAACTAAAACCATAAAAGCCTTAGAACAGTGGTTCTCAACCTCTGGCCCTTTAAATACAGTTCCTCATGTTGTGACCCAACCATAAAATTATTTTCATTGCTACTTCATAACTGTAATGTTGCTACTGTTATGAATCATAATGTAAATATCTGATATGCAGGATGTATTTTCATTGTTACAAATTGAATGTAATTAAAGCATGGTGATTAATCCCAAAAACAAAATGTAATTATATATTCAATATGTGTTTTCCAATGGTCTTAGGCGACCCCTGTGAAAGGGCCCAGCTGTGAGCCCAGCTTGTGGCAGAGTGGGAACGCTCTGTGAGAGCACTCTGACCATCAGGGGCAGCTCCTGCGTTGAGAGTCTGCCCCCTGGTGGTCAGTGTGCATCATAGCGACCGGTCATTCCACCATTTGATTGATTTGCATGTTAGCCTTTTATTATATAGGATGCTGAAAGGTATCCTTTAAGAAAAAGAAGAGGCCCAACCCGAAAACCAACTTCTGTGCATGGGCCACGAAGTGTCAATCGCACTGTACGTGCACACCCGCACGTGGTATTTTGTGGAAAAGCCACACTCAAGGGGCCAAAGAGCCGCATATGGCTCCCGAGCCGTGGTTTGCCAACCACTGATCTGGAGGAACGGCTTCTAGACGGTATTCTCCGTCTCTGGGACTTCCCGTGAGGGAAGTCAAAACTCGGACTGGCTAAGGGTACGAGTTTGGCTTGCCTTTGCAAAAAAGAAGCATTCCTAGGCAGTTTTCTACCGCCTCTGTTCAGGGACTTGTTCTGTGTCTCTGCAATTGAAACTGATTTGGTGAATGCAGGGTATTCTGTGGTATAAATGTGGCACACACCGGTGTAAAAGTGTTTATTTACTGTTGGGGTTTTATGTTTGTTTGTTTCTGTTAAAAAAAAAAAACCTTCTAAAAAAAAAGAAGAAGGTAAAGATACAAACTATGAACAACAAATACACATCTATCAACAAGTGAATGTAAAAATCAAGTGAATAAATAATCTGATGAACAGAATAAACTGGTGAAGATAATATAATCAGGGGTACAGAAAGGGAGTGGACTGACTATTCTGGGGGGGCGAGGGGGGAAAGGGGTGTGGGGGATGCCGGAAGAGACTG